CTCGGCTGTCACGCGGCTCCAGCCTCCGCCCGTCCCTCACCAGGGCCAGCCGCCAGGCAGGGAAGTGTCGCAACGCCTGACAGGAAACTTTGCCGTGGGTACGACAGCGGCGGGCTCGCTTTCCGGCCGCTGGATGAGTGGAGAGTGGGAGCCGAGGAGGAGCTGACGAGACGCTGGGGTTAGTGGCCGGGGGGGGAGGAGGCCGCGAGGGGGAAGCGGCCCGGCGGCGGCGGGGTCAGGAGCCCGGGCAGCCGCCGCTGGCGGCGATGTGAGGCGGGGCCGGGGGCCGGCTCTACCTTTGTTCGCTCCCCGCCGCCCCCGCCCGGCCCGGCTCGGCTCGGCCCGGCCCGGGAAGCGGCTGCCCCGTCTCACGCTCTCCTTCTCTCTGGGTCTGTGTCGGTCTCTCTTCTAGGACATGGCCGAGGTACCGCCCGGGCCGAGCAGCCTCCTCGCCCCGCCGGGGGACGCCCTCTCCCCCTTCCCCGGAGGAGGGGGGGCCGCCGCCTGCCCCGGGGCCCTGGACGAGGAGGAGGAAGAGGAGGGCGGCCAGGAGCCGCCGCGAGGCGGCGGCAAGGGGGGGCCGCAGCCGCAGCAGCACCGCCTCCTCCACCACCACCACCCGCCGCATCACAACCACCAGCTCAACGGCCTCATCAGCCCCGAGCTGCGGCACCTCCGAGCCTCCCTCAAGAGCAAGATCCTGAGCTCGGAGGGGGCCGAGGGGCCGGAGAACAAGCGAGCCGGCAAAACAATGGGCTCCGGACAGCCGCCGCCGGCCGCAGCCCCGTGCTCATCCCCCCTCCCCAACCACCTCCCGGAGCCCCAGGCGAGGACTGCGCCCCCGGCAGCCACAGGGGACAGGAGCCAGCCTGCGGCTGCCACTGCAGCCCGCAATGGACTGGCTGGGGGGCCTGGCCTGGAGGAGGACGAGCCGGAGGAGGGGGATGAAGGGGAGGAGGAGGAGTCCCTGCTGCTGCTCTCCACATCCTTAGCAGCAGGCTGCAGTTTGAAAGGCTCGGGGACGGACTCTCCTCCCGAGGAGGACCTAACGATACGATACGTCCGGTATGAGTCCGAGCTGCAGATGCCCGATATCATGAGACTGATCACCAAAGATCTGTCTGAACCCTACTCCATTTACACGTATAGGTATTTTATCCACAACTGGCCACAGCTTTGCTTTTTGGTAAGTGGCGGGGGGAGGAGGGAAGACATTGGGAAGGGTCTGGGGTCGAGGGAGCAGGTTGGAAGGGGGTGGAATTTATGGGGAAGCTTGAACTGCCAACTGATGCTTTTTCATGGTCATGGGATGGAGAGAGGTCTGGAAATACCCTGTCTTATTTAGCAGTGATGTGCCTTGCGCACCTGTGGTGCTCTGTGTAGACAATACAGAAAGTATACCTAGTTACACTCGTAAATGAATGATTCAAGTAGAGTAATGGGGTTTGCACGTGGGACTGAGACCCAGGAATTCCTGTGTTCTAAGCCTGCCATTGACACTGATTTTCTTTGTGACCTCTTGCAGTTCATTTCTTCATTCTCTGCCTCAGTTTCCACTCTGGTAAAGTTGAAGTAACAATACTTAACTAGCAAGTGTTGTGAGTTAATTTGATAACTTTTTTCAAGATACTTTGGACTGTTTTGCACAGCAATTCACTTGTAAGATATGGTCTGAGTTACATTGTAAATGTAATGAGATGGACAGATTTCATGGAATTGAAGCTTTTGTAAACATCAAACTTTTTATCTACAAAACTAGTCGAAAATGAAACACAAAATACAACTATCTTCTAGTGCCAAAGTCACAGTATATGTAAAAACATAATAATTGTCATGCTATGTCCAAATACTGTGCTAGTAACACATCCAATCTTGTTTCCTGCCTGCTATATTAGACTAATAGTCCATTAGTCTGCCTTTGTCAGTGGCTTGAACTTCTTTATCTTAAAGAAAACATTGTTAGTATTAAGTTCTAAAGCCTTTTTAATAATAAAAAGTTTAGTGTTATACACTAATCATATGGGGGTGAGCCCCATATGTAAGTTGTCTAGAGAAACATTTGTGCCTCAATCCTGCAGATGTTTCTGCACGTTTGACTTTATGCACGTGAATACTTATGTTTAAAACAAAGTATGTGTGTAAGTGTATGGCCTTGATCCTGTAAACATTGTCCTTGATGATAGATTATAGGTAGTTTCCATTTACACAAGGAAAGCCAACATTTGTATGAAATCATTTTTATAAAGGTTTTCAGGGTGAAATGAAATTGAATACAAAGTAAAAGAAGGAAAAACATTTTATGGATCTTTTGGGAACAGTTTAAAGACTAGCTATTACACTACAGACAGGGTGTAACTAATTTTGTGGAGGCAGAAGTTCTTTCTGATAAGTTATTAAACTCTTCTCCTTTATGTACAATACTATTCGTTAATCACACGTGGCTTGCAAATATTCACTCAGGAATAATTATTATTACATGGGACTAAGATGTGACTATACCTTTACTGTGGATTACTGGTGCTTATGTGCTTATATTTTCAGTGTTAACCTTGGGCGTAATTTAATGGTCTGTACTAGGATTTCCAAAACAGTGGGTCTTATGACCCCTACAAGGGGGTACAGTAGAGTTATGGGAAGTTGTGCAAAACATGTGAAATTGTTAAAAATGGATATACAACAGAAGCCTTATAACGGTGTATCCTCTTTGGACCACCATATTGTTGAATGTAAGAACCTCAGTCAGTGGTTCGATGCAGAGTAGTGCAGGATGTTCTTCTGATAAAATTCTATGAAGTCTGTACTTGGGTGTGTCTAGATTTACCTTATACAAAACAAGTCCTATTAAAAGCACTTATGTGACATGAAACTCAAGTACCCATATGTGCACACGGCACTGAATTGGGATGCTGGATGTGTCAGCAGAAATCCGGCCAGAAGGCACTGTTGAGCATTGCATGATCATATAGGATATGTTGTTTAGTCTGTGGAGCTCAGTTCTTGCCAAGGAGTGATTTAGGAAGACTGTTTCATGAAAAGGACAGTGACAAGTCATTCAGTGACATTCTCAAAGAAAATGTGGGAATGTGACACATGAGACATGGTTTTACATCAGTGGATTCAAAACCAGCATGTAGAGTGCTCTGAAGTGCTGGCTGTGGAGCTGTAAAGTCTTTAAAGTGATTGCAACATCAAAGAGGAAAGAAGAAACCTCAGGTTTATCTTTAAGGGTGTGTTTTGAGAAAACTTGAAGCCTTAAAAAAACAACAAGACTTGAGTACTCAAGCTGGCAATGTTGATACAGATATCCTTCAGATTTGGTATCTCTGAATCACAACAGTGTAAAGCACATACAGTTGTGGAAAACCGTATACTTGTGGCTTCAAATGTTAGTCTAATGCAGCTAACAAATTGAAAACAGCGCCGTTATCAAATAAGTTTGTTTCGTGTTGTATTAGTAACATCGATGAGGATGTTCATGAGCAACTGCTTTCAAAACTTGGGAAAAGAGACTTCTTAAGCCTTTCAATGTGCTGAGTCAATTGATGCCTCTGATGCAGCACAGATTTTAGCATTTGTGAGGTTTGTTTTTAAAGGGTCTGTTGAAGACTTGCTTTTTTGTAAAGCTGAGCCATGTACACACAACAGACAAATGCATATTGAGACATTTCGGGAATCAAAGTTTTCCACATTTGTGGGGAGCATTCTATTGTAATTCGCATGAGCAGTGTCAAGATGATAACAGGAAAGAATAGACACCTGGTCCTGCAGAACCAAAACATCACATCTAATGCTTCATGGCTTCGTTGTTTTTCCTACACAGCAAGAACTTGGCAGTTAAGAAAACTCCACAAAGATTGCACCACTCCTTTAAGAAACATATAGAGAAGTGAACTTCTTAAAAGTTGTCCAGTGAATACCTGACTGATGGGTTCTCTTCACCAGCAACTTCTTTCATGCTGAAGGGAGGTGGCTTTCACAAGATAAAGTGCTAATTCCACTCTCAGTTAAGACCAAGATGGCATGTTTTCCTGAATCATCCCTTGCTGAAACCTTCAACATGTTGGGCAACATACTTATCCTAACTAGTTGACATCTTTGGGCACCTAAATGAGCAGAACTTTCTCTTTGGGAGTGGACTAGGAATGCTGCATACATGGTTGCTAAGGTAGAACACTTGGAAATTGGCCTTCATGAGTGCAAAGAGGAAACTTTGAGTTGTTTGCTCTTATTTCAAATTTATAGGGCATTGAAACTGTAAGAAACCAATCAGGAGCTTATAAATTAAAAACTGAGGGAACTTAAAACTCAGCTGGGAATACAGTCCTGTAACTGGCTTTGGAGGGAGTAGGGGGGATGTTGAATCACCGGCTCTTTCATCCAGCATGTGATTGATTTGGCTACATTGACTAGGCTAGTGCAAGTCATAAGAATGGCCACACTGGATCAGACCAAAGGTCCATCTACCTCAGTATCCTGTCTTCCAACAGTGGCCAGTACCAGGTGCTTCAGAGGGAATGAACAGAACAGGTAATTATCAAGTGATCTATCCCCTGTTGCCCATTCCCAGCGTCTGGCAAACAGAGGCTAGGGACACCATCCCTTCCCATCCTGGCTAATAGCCATTGATGGACCTATCCTCCATGAATTTATTTGGTTCTTTTTGAACCCTGTTATAGTCTTGGCCTTCACAACATCCTCTGACAAAGAGTTCCACAGGTTAACTTGTCATAGGAGGGGCCTGTCAAACTGACAGTCTTCGCCCATGCAAGACCCAACAACTGATTTGAGTTAGGAACTCGGATTTGTGACTATCGCTGATAAAGTAGGCATCCGTCTTAAGTTGCAGATGCCTTGAAAGTGTAATTTTTTTTGTTCTCATCTCTGAGAGTCCAGTTTCTCATCAGTGATGGCAATTAAAAATGAAGTATGACAATCGTTTGTCAATCAAAAATGACTTAAGACCACATGTTTTTCCCCAGTTCAGCCTTGTGTGAAACATCTTTAATTAGAACAGGTTTATCCATCATACAAAGTTGTGAGCATATTTAAAAAAAAATTGTAGCAGCTCCTTTTTAACTTTCTAGTTTTGGGATGGTTAAAGTTACAAAACTTCTCCCATTTATGGCTGCCATTAGAGGGCTTAGGGAAGGTGTTTATTTTAGTTTAGAAAGCGTAAGTTAAGCAAACCCATGTCTATTCCAAAGATTTGGTAAAGTAGGACATGTTGCTTAATATATAGAAGTAGATTTCCTTCTGATTATTGATACCTTTTGCAAATCCCCCCTCTCCCCCAAAACAAAACAAAAAACAAAAATCAGCTATAGATCCTACTCAAGTTCTATACTTCTGTGGGGTTCTTAACTTCATGTTATTAGCAGTAGTAGGAGTTCTATTTAAACTGAATTCTAAAAGTTCTAAAACAAGTTCTAAAAGTAATTTTTTTGTACTTCCAGTAAAGAGATTACAGGTGTTTGGATATAAATCCCTAATGATTGTAATTGAGATTTTTATGGTTACTATTAATATGTTGCTCTTCTGTATCATATTCCATTCAAGGATCTCAAAGCATTTTACATTAACATAAGACCTCATAAGACCCCTTTGAGAAGTATTCCCTACTTTTCAGTGGGAAAAACTAAGGCATTGAAACTGAACCATAGAGAGGCCAGGAAATTGTCCAAACCTTCACAGCAAGGTCACTGCAGAGCCAGGAATAGATCCTAGAACACCTGACTCCCAGTCTTGCACTCTACCACAACTATTTCTTTTTGTATTTCAACTTAACTCAGTTAAGAACACAAGTTCCTCCCAGAGCTTGTTACTTTTTTAACTGAAATACTTTGTCTGTTGCTTCTGCCTATCTAAGGTACTTGTATGGTCCCCAGCACTGTATCTGAGCACCTCTCAGTCTTTAATGTGTTTGTCCTCACAATGCCTTTGTGAGGTAGGGAAGTGCTGTTATCCACATTTTACAGATGGAGGAACTGAGACACAGAAAGGCTAAGTGACTCCCCCAAGGGCAGACAGGAAGTCTGTGGCACAGCTCTCAAGTCCCAGGCTAGTGGCCTAACTGCTAGACCATCCATCCTCTCTTTGCACAGTTGGTGATATGATAGCAAAACCCGAGACATATCATGTGGCTCTGAAAGGTACTTCTAGCCTTTGGTTTCAAGACTTAATTGGGTTTTTATTTTAGTTAATATTCCAATCCATATGTAGAAGCTTTTTGAGGCAAAATGTAGACAGTGTAGTAATAACTCTTGCAATACGTGGATGAGATGAAATCATCTCTTTAGTTAAATATTTAAACTTTCTTGCTTAAGAAAACAGGTAACAAATTATTAAATTGAATTTATGCATGTTAACACTTTGAGATTTAGACTAATGTAGGACTGAAAAATAATCTCACAGTACAAACACCTTTAGTACTGGAAAGATTTAATACTTGGTTTGTAGAGTTGGTATCTTGGGGCCAAAATCTGCTGTTAAAAACTTACATGTAATTTCACTGGGAGCAGCATTCATGTATTTGAAAGCAGAATTTGGCTCTTAATCATTTGCTTTGAAATGATCCTGTATGGAAATTTCACTTTTGCTTCAGTCTGTTTTTATTTAGGCTGTTTCCACTTTCCTCTTCAGAATGCCAGTGAACTAAACTGTTAATTTTACATGCTGGAGTAGGCTTTTCACCTTTAAGTAAGAGGGAAAAGGGAAATAAGGGCCTGATCCTGCAGTCCTTATGCAAGCAGAATGTCACTGGAGTCACTGGGAACCTTGTCTAAGAACTGCAGGAAAAGGTCTTCTGAAAAACATGTACAATACCACTTCGTTACTTATCACTATTTTCTGACAGTAACCACAAAGATCAGTGAATCTGCAGTTTTGGGTCACTGAATTGCTAGATCAGTAATGCAGTTTTATTTTTAAATAAAAATGAACACTATTTGTAGCCAATGGAACGTGGATATATACATTTATTATTTCCTGTTTATATCGAATTTCACTTCTCTCAAAATGTATCAAGTATGTTATCTATAAAGTTTTCTGTATGATTCTAAATGAAAAGTAATTTGCACCATTATGTTCTTTTAAAGGCAAGAGGTGTGTGTTTGCTTTAAATCAAAGTGTGGGATCACATCAGGTACTCTGCATCATTGTAGCAGCACTATTTAAGAGTCTGTCAGTTCTTCCAATATACAGTAAAAGCTGTTTTATTTGGCGCTTCACCAACCGGAAAGCTCTATAAACCGGCATTTCTGATTTTCATTGAAATTCCAGTTTATAGTCTGGTTGGCGCGGGGCTGGCAGGGGGTTGGAGTGTGGAGTGCAGGCTCTGGGAGGGAGTTTGGGTGCGGGAGGGGGCTCAGGGCAGCAGGTTGAGGCGCAGGAGAGGTACGGGGTGCCAGATCCGGGGGGTGCTCACCTCGGGCGGCTCCCCACAAGCAGCGACCTGTCCTGGCTGCTCCTAGGTGGAGGCACAGCAGGCAGCTCTGCGCACTGCCTCCGCCCGCAGGCGCTGCCCCCACAGCTCCCATTGACCGCTGTTCCCAGCCAATGGGAGCTGCAGAGCTAGCGCTCAGGGCAGGGTGGGGGCAGCGCGGAGCCGCTTGCCGTGCCGCCACTTAGGAGCAACCGGGATAGGTCGCCGCTTGCGGGTAGCCACCTGAGGTGAGTGCATCCCAACCCATTGCCCCAAGTCCCCATTCACACCCAAACTCCCTTTGAGCCTGCGCACCCGCGCCCCAGCTCCCCACCCCCGCCTGCATTCAAACTCCCTTCCTCTTAGGCCTGGTCCACACTAACCCCCCACTTTGAACTAAGGTACGCAAATTCAGCTACGTTAATAACGTAGCTGAATTCGAAGTACCTTAGTTCGAACTTACCGCGGGTCCAGACGCTGCAGGCAGGCTCCCCCGTCGATGCCGCGTACTCCTCTCGCCGAGCTGGAGTACCGGCGTCGACGGCGAGCACTTCCGGGATCGATCCGGGATCGATTTATCGTGTCTAGACAAGACGCGATAAATCGATCCCAGAAGATCGATTGCTTACGGCCGGACCAGGAAGTAAGTGTAGACCTGCCCTTAGTTAACTGTCATTTTTCACTTACCGGCACCCCCCATTTCCCCAACATGCCGGATAAAACAGCTCTTACTGTAATGCCTTATGTTTCTCAGAGCCTGAGCTGCGATATACAAAACTTGCCTTGGGCTGAAACTTGGCATACTAGGTCTTAGTGTTGATGAGGTGTTTTTTCTTTTAAAGAAATGGAAAGAAATCAACTTGATTTGCCTGTTTAAATTATGAAATGCGAAGCAAAACAACTTGTAGGGTGTGCTATATCTCAAAAGTGTCCTCTTCTCCCCCTCCCCCCCCCTGTTTTTTAAACAGATCTTTTTAAAGCTATTTGTCTAAATTGTAGACAAGTTCTTCTGGGTACATTAAGAAAAAAATTATTCTTGCTAAGTTTAATTTAGAAACTTCTTTCAGTGCTTGATGCACTTTGGGCCCAAACAGTCTGCATACACAGTCTGAATAAAGAGTTGTAGTCAAGGGAATAAAATCTTTCCCCCCATGACATGGAGCTAATCTGAAACCACTGCTAATTTCTCAGTTGCTGCACCTCTCCCTCAATGGGGGCTCTTGGCAAGTGGACTTGTGTACACACAATAATAACCCACCACTCATGAGCAGGACCATTAAAAGGACTAAAGGAAAATATTTTTTCCTGAAGGAAAACTTTGGTCCTCATCCTGCAACAGGAGCCATTGGATGGATCCTTGTACTTATACACAGCCTCATTGAGGAGTTCTGTGGCTCCAAGAGTAAGGTTGAGACCTAAAAATGCATTTATATATATATAAGGGAAGAAAGGACTTTTTCTGCTTAGACATTATCCTACTACATTTGTGACATCACCCCGATCCTTGCTGCGGGCTGTAATGTCATAAATAAAGGATTGTGATTTCTCCCCCCTGCCTAATTCTTCAATGAACCACATTATTTTTTTGTTTCTTTCTTCTCTGGCCCAATATATTTCATGTAAAATCTGTGTGAATGCAGTTAGCAATTATAATCACTCTGTCTATTTAATATACATTTAACATTTCATAACATGAAGTATTTCAGAGTGACTAAGTCATCATGACCATGCCTCTCATGACAAGTGTCACTGGGACTAACTGTCAATGAGGAATTCTTAAGTAAATGAGAACTCTGAATTAAAGGTATTTGAAATGCATGAAATTACTGGTAAAATTACTTTTGTCTGAATAGTTTCTCTTCCTTGTTACTGGAATGAAAAGTGACACTTGTTAAAGATAAAACATAAGGGGTTTCATAAGAGCCATTATGTTATTGGGGTTAAAAAATTGCTAACAGAAACTTAAAACAAGTATAGTCTTTCATAGCTTTTGTAAGCAAACATGGAAATTGCATGCAAAAATAAATTCAGTTTGTAGTTTATATGCTTACTCTTGACAGAATTCAATTGGATTTTTTATAATTTTGATGGATAATATCAATGTTTATTTTTAAACTTTTTTTATTTTTATCTACTTTAAGTTTGCACAGATGCAAGGAATTATGGGGCGGGGAATGTCAGACTATTAAGTGACAGACTCTGAGGCTGTTAAAACATAGATTGTCAACATAACGTGTCAAAATATACAAAGGAAATATCCATAAATCAGAGTTCTGAAGCAGTGTTTTTTGATGATTTTTTTTTTTGCTTTGCCTATCTGTACATTTAGATTGTTATTGATGGAAATATTTTTGTCGGCTTCCATGTGTACAGCGAAATTGTTGATAAAAATCTAATCCTTCTAAGCCTATTTATACTCTTACCTTTACTCGGGCTGCCATGACTATTTTTAAATGTGAGTAAATAAGGATAGATCGAAGGACCTATTTCTAGAGTCTTGTCTTGTATACAAATTCCGCTCCCATTGGAGTTCTGTGTGGAATGACTGTAAACTCTGGTTCTTATGTCACATTGGGAAATACTATAAAGAGTGGTGTTGATAAAGTTTCCCATCTGTACTTTGGATATATGTTTGAACTGTATATACAATTTTATAGTGCAAGCTATTATTTGTTACTTTTGTGCACGTAAGATTGTAATTTAAAAGGCAAACAAATTCACTTTTTTGTTGTTGGCATTCATTGTATTTCACATACTTAGAATGTACATAGATATTTGTTTGTCTTTAAGGCCATGGTAGGTGAGGAGTGTGTAGGTGCCATCGTCTGCAAGTTGGATATGCACAAAAAGATGTTCCGCAGAGGTTATATAGCCATGTTAGCAGTGGATTCCAAATACAGAAGAAAAGGCATTGGTAAGAATAGCCTCTCCATGTTCTTATTCAAACTCTAATAACCCTGTTGGGATGGTTGTAACTTTTGGAATAGAAGATTGCCACAAAAATAACAGGCTTCTGCAGAGGTAAAAGATTGTTTTCCTAGAAAGCTTTTTTTCTTTAATTCAGAATAACTTGAAGTCGTTTGGAGATTGTCTACACTTACTATTGTGTCTCATATTGTATTTTACAACTTTGGCGTTGCAATAACTAATTCTAGTTCTTTTCCAATGAAAAATGAAGAACAATTTTGTTTCATTTTTTACTTGAACCTCCCCCCCCCCCCCCCCTTTTTTTTTTTTTACACTAGGAGGCTGTTTACCCAAGAAAAGTCCTATTTTCTGGTAGTAGCAGTCTCCCCAAAACCAAGTCTGGACAAGCAACACTTACTTGCTACCTTCCTGGAGAGTTCTTGATGTGCACTTAAATTCCTGGGTGTATTGAATAATTGGTAAATTTGGCATAAGTCTGAAATGAAAGATACCCTGCCACCTCAGTTTCTCTTGTAAAATGTCAGTGCCAAATAGCAAAAGAAATGGATAACTTGTGTACCCATGTTTGCACATAAACCCATTCCCAACTTCCTACTCACTATCCTGGTGAGCTGCTTTAGTAAATTCTTCCTCTGGCTCCTCTTGATCAAATGTGCCACACACTGTCCTTCGGGGAGCCATACATATAGCTAATTACAGCATATATACTTAAAAAAATCTCTTTTCTTATGAGGCAACCAAATTTGAGATAGTTTGTTGGACAGTTTCCTTAACGTTCATGCCAGGAATTTCTTCCTTGTTATCTTCACTTACCAAATCAACGTTGAACTACTTTTTTAAATAGGCCATCCTGAAACATTGTCCTCTATTTTGCAGTACTTTTGAAACTTAAAATGTATATGTCAGCATTTCAGGACAAGGATATGCTTTGCTACTAATTTGTTATGAAGCAAACTCTTGCTTCCTGTATTGGTTATGTCTGTTTTGGTTATGGAGGACAGAGAGCATGACTTGCAACAGAAAAATATAGGACAGTCTTGTAAAATATTTCTTTTGTGCTTCTCCTCCCCTTTCTCTTCCTGCAGCTCCTCCAAATATGACACAGCATCAAAACAAGTTTCACCCCAAGTGCACAAACAATCTTGAATGTAGTCTTAGTTTTTTATAAAAGCAAAATTTTGGCAATGTCTAACCTACATAGACTTTCAAGTTTGGGGCCAATAATGACGGCCCTAATATAGTCACAGTAGTATGTAGGGGAAAGGATACAGGGAGATCACTCTCCCTCCTTTCCCTCAAGCACTGTCGTGCAGGAGGCACCCATAATTTAGCTGCAGATGCTTGGGAGCACAAGGGGATGCCAACTAGTGCTACATTTATGTCCACAATGCGTGCAGTCTCTGCATGACTTCTCCCCTTCTCTGCCCCTCCTGTATCCTGTTCATGCAACATCAGGGTAGCACTGGCTTCACTTCTTTTTAAAGTGAAGCAAATCCAAAGTACCTTCCCTCAGTACCTCTCAAGATGTTTTTTTCCCCACAAAGAGTACCACCACTCAGGAGATTTACCTTTGCCTGTCCCTAGCATATATCAAACTTTGTAAGAGGTGAAATTTCATCCTCTATATCTATTTAGTTGGTATTTTAAATATACAATCTATAGATCGTTTCGGGGGGGAGGGGGTTGTTGTTGTTTTTTAAAGAGCAATCCTTTCGCAAGAGAAATGTTCCTCAAATACGCTCAAAGTGAGATTCCAATCATAAGTGCAACAAAAGGGAATCAAACAAGTCTTGACATTCATCTTTATTATGTAAAATATGAGGATATTTTTAAACCTGAGAAGCCTGTTTATAACACCATCCTGACAAAGAAAAGACCTTCAGATTCCAAGGAGAAGCTTGTATATGTTCTATAATACCTGTAGACCTATTATATTCTTATGGGCGCCATGTAGAAGTCTTTGCCAATACAGAATAGTTAGTATATGTTTAAAGGCAATTTTAATGCCAAAACCTTGAAAGCAAACAGTGAATCTGCAGTCTAGTTTCAGGTATTTTGAATGCCTATTATATGCCACTGTGCTGTGTATTGAAATGGAATATGTGGATGTAATTAATATATATATTATAAAATTAGTCATCTGTAAACGGTGATTCTCTGAATTTAGATCTCTTTAAAAAATCTATACCTGTATTTTACTTTAATGCTATTAAAATCTATTTTCCAGGTACAAATTTGGTTAAGAAAGCTATTTATGCCATGGTTGAAGGAGATTGTGATGAGGTAAGTTTTTATAGGTGCTCAAAAATTTTGAGGGAGTACTCTATGCAGTGTTTGTGTTCTTCTCCATACCCATGCATTTATTTTATAGGCATTCTTTTAGACACTTGATTTTCTTGTAAGCAACTCTTCCATTTATTGTAGGAGATGGGATACCTTCAAAAAGGCAAACTGAGGAGTATTTTTTTGAAACTTAAGTTTAGTTAACTATAACATAATGTACAAATAATAAGAGTTAATACTTTTGATATTTACTACATTAAACAGTTAGATACATCTACTGAAGTTTGATTCATGTGCTCCGGGCTCCCAAACATTCTAAGAATAAAGGCCGCTGTTGAACAGAGAGAGCTTGTTTTGGAATTTGAGTTGTTATTGTACTAACTCTTCAGGATTCAGGATATGTGAAGTTAAACACTGAAACAGTATCAACTGTAATACTGTAAAACATGGTCTTATCAGAGTATCATCAAATTGTCCAAAAGAAATCTATACAGAGTACTTCCCAATAACATAGAATTATCACAAAATCATAGAAGTGATTTAGTGTGTATTCTCTTCAAAGAATTTAGTAAAACTATTGCAGTATTATAAAATCAAACTTTACTTTCTGTATCCCAAATTTTGTTAATATCCCTTTTTATCTTTTTTGCAAAATTCTTCCAACTAGATGAAAACTTATGAGTTCTATTTGACTATATAAGAAGTAACTAATGTAGTCTTAATATGACTGGGTGAAGAGGAAAAATAAGAGAGGGAGAGAATAAGATTCTTCACAGGCTGCTCTGTTTACCCCAGCTATCTATTCCTTAACACACTTTCCTCCACCCTGTAGTATAGAACCATGAACCTGTTGTCCTTAATGTAAGTGATTTAAAACACTAAATCATCTTCATAGTTCCTCAGGGAGGTTAGCCAGTCCTTTGATCTTTCTTGGATATCCTGATTAGCTGTGCACCCTGCTAATGCAGTATTTAGGTATGTTGTGAAAATTTGAACTAAAAATTGCAGGTTTTCTTTAAAAAACAAAACAAAAAAATCCCTTCTAGAATGTACTATATTTTGTATATCTCTCTCCAAATCAAGGCTACTGATAAAACTCTGCCACTTGTTCTATAATCTCTTCAGAATCTTGTTCCTTGTTATCCCCCTCATCCTTATTGCCAATATCTTGGACTATGCCATGGTTAGCGCTCATCTCAATTACTGCATCCTCTTCCTCTGGCCCTCTCATTTTTGGGATTGTGGCTCTCAATTATAACTTATGTGCTTCTGCTAAAATAGTTGTCCTCCCCCACAGCTCTTACCTCTACCCTTGAGTGGTCTTCAGATTTTGTTCGATAGCTCATTCAAACCCTCCTTCTCCCCAGGGCCCTTCAGAGCTCTGCTCTAACTGCATGTCCTTTTCTACCACTTGCTTGCTTATGACTTATGCTTTGGCAACTTAATGAAGCTTGATAACTCTCCATTTCCTTTTCCCATAAGCAGCTCCATGTCTTGACCCATGTCGTCCTCTATTCTTGAAATATACTTCCTGATCTTGTCACTATACATCCCTTTCCTTGTTCAAATACCTCTTCAGTACTTCCTCATTTTTATCAGTCTTCCGTTGCTGATCTCCAGTATGGCCTTGAATTTGATCACTATTTACAGATAAATAGCAGTATTTCCCCCATTACCATAGTATCTAAGCACCTCTCAATCTTTAATGTATTTGTCACAACAGCCTTGTGATATAGGAAGTGCAGTTATCACCATTTTCTAGATGGGGGACTGAGACCCAGATAGGTGAAGCAGCTTGCCCAAGGTCACACAGGAAATTTGTAGCACAGCAGGGAGTTGTAACATGATCTCCTGAGTCAGAGGCTAGTGCCCTAGTCATCCTTCTTCACTAATAAATGGTTATTTTTTTAAAAATGAGAGGAACTAACAAGACACACACATAATAAGTACATCTCATGAGTTTTTCCTATTGTAATCTTTGTGTTCCTTGTCCCATACCCCTTATTGTTTTTATTTCTCACTGTGTAAAATTTAATGTCGACTACAAGAGCCTCAACACATGGACCCTGCCATTTCATTTTTGTTAAATGCTATGCCCCTCTGCTGTATAAATAATTTTCCATGTTAGGTCAATTATATACTTTTCAAACTGTCCCATTAAATGTGCTACATTCTAGGTTTCATTGTGATTCATTATTATGAGATATTAATATATATAAACGATCTACAGTAATATAGCAAATATGTCTTGATATTTTTTCTCTTCCTTGGCACTAAGTCTGGGCATAGGAGACTTCCTCCAGATGCTTGTGATGCAACAGTAACAACTTTGGCTACTTGAACCTCCTAATATATTTCAGAAAAGTTTTCGCTCATGACCAGGATTGGAAAAATCCACAGACCTACTCATCACTGGAGAGTGGGAAGCTTCCCCTGATGAGCGAGGAAGCCCATATCACCCATTTCTGCAAAATTTAAGTTTTTTTAATTCTTATCTAAGTTTCTAGTCCTTATGATTGGTACATAGCCAAGCAAGTATGAAATGATGCCGCATTACAGCTTGTCTTCCTGAGCCTATAGATTGCTGCAGTACCTCTGCTGTTGTTAGGTTTTTTCCCAATCAGTGGCAGAGAGAATGTAACAAGATATTGTTCAGTTTCACTTCTGCAACTCAGAATACAATGAACAGTAAAGGAGAAAAATGTAAAAAATCTTATTTTTGTTCAAAAGTGTGCTTGAAAAATGAGCATGTTGTCCCATGTGCAAACATCGGTTTTTCCCAAGTGCCTGTTTGTTCACCCACTTAAATATGTTTAGCTGCATCTTTGAAACTTTATCCATAAATCTTACCTTGGAACAAAGGTGAGAAAAGTACCATGTTCCCAGTAATACTTGGGCAAGTAATCTGACAAGTTTGTACAATACTTTTCAAAGTATTGAAGAGCAAGGGGTAGATCTTAGGGAACAGTAGGTGAACTGTGATGTACATTTAGTACCTAAAGTATATGGTGCTGCCCATTTGTGATGCTTGAAAGTTTACTGCAACAGCATAATGGTAGCTGTCAAAAGTTTCATCTCTGTTTTGTTTGCTGGTGGTAACAAACTAGGCAAACATACAAAGTCCCAAGGTAGAATAGAATATCTGAGGCCTTGTCTACACTACCGCGGTAAGTTGACCTAAGTTATGCTACTCCAGCTACGTGAATAACGTAACTGGAGTCGACGTAGCTTAGGTCGACTTATCACGGTGTCTACACTGTGCTGTGTCGATGGGAGACACGCTCCCGTGGACTTACCTTACTCGTCTCATTCCGATGGAGTAGACTGGAGAGCGCGCTGCCGTTGATTTAGTGGGTCTTCATCAGACCTGCTAAATCGACTCCCACTGCATTGATCACAGCTGCGTCGATTTCCGGTACGTGTAGACATGGCCATTTTGAGCTAGAGGTAAAATTTAAGTCTGAAGATTGTACCGTTAGCAAAAGATTACTTTAAATTAGTGTCGAGGTGTGTAAATTTAACATTCTGGCAAGTCCCTACATTTCACTAATGTAATTTTTGACATTATGGTTTCCTGAGATACTTAATGATAGTGAATTTTGATGATGATAATTCAAGATTGTGGACTAAAGATTTTGGGAAACTAAATGAGCCAAAGTTTATAGTCAATTATGGTAAATTAGCATAATTGACTGGCATGATCTGAGAGCAATATGTAGAAAATGTGGTCTACCTGAAACAATTTTAAAAGTTATGCCTCTGAAATACATAATTACATGAATTACTGTGACTGTATTAGCACAGTTTGGGGCTATGCAAAAAGTGAAAACTCAATGGTTTGATAAAAAGCCAAATATGTCTGTCTCTTTGATTTCATGAATACTCAATTGCTTAGGTGCTATAAGCATTTCATTAGTTAAATATCTTAGGAGGATATTTTCAATGACGTTCAATGGGAGTTGGTCACTTAACCACTCTGTGTTTGAAAATTCCCCTTAATGCAGACCTGGCTGAAAAATTGCAGCATTTAGGGCCATCCTGTAGATTTGCTTTCCCTTCTTGAGGGAATTTGATTCTTTAAAGGAAAAAAATGGATTGTTCGTTAATGTCTAATCTTTCATAGTAATCTAAGTATAACATTTAGTACTTGCACAGTGTCTCACATCTTCATAGCACTGTATAACTGCTAACTAATCAACATAAACTGGCAGTACATGCTAAAAATACTTAACATTCTCACAATTTTTCTGAAAGTTAGGAAAGAAAATGGCTTATACAAAATGTGAAAAGGAATTGCAGCTTTTCACAAGCAGCCTCACTGAACTAGATAACATGCCACAGCTGAAAGTCACCATGAATGCTATTACCAGCTAGGTTGGTCTTTAGCATCATAAATACACCTACTAAACAATAAAGTGTGACACTTTACTTATCTCACTGGGATCAAAACTTTAAGTCAGCAAAACCTGAGAGTCCAGGAATCTAGTTGCATGAAATGTTGCATCATAATGTGGCTTTTTTATTGTATATGTTGTAAAGGATGATGTATGATGTCATGAAATATTTCAGATCATATTTCCTATGAATAATCTTTCTTCAGAAAATTTATGCGTCTTTAGAAAATACTATTCTATTGATTGAGATGGTCAGGACTCATGCAGATGGACAGAGGAATGATGATTCTGGGTTATTAAAAGAATTAACAGGCATACTTGTACATCGAAAGCATATTGGTTGTAGGAGATGCTCTAGGACAGAAGTGAGTGGGAACACTGATCACACAGTCTTGCATTTGAAACTGAATACAGATGCCCCCCGACTTACGCAATCGTTCCGTTCCGGAAAGCCTTGCGTAACTCAATTTTTGCATAAGTCGGAAACGTATACCCATACATTACGCAAAAATTTCCGCAACTCAAAAATCCTATTTCTGGATTATGGAACTTTTTCCGTAAGTGTGAACTTGCGTAAGTCGGGGAGTGCCTGTACAGGAATGGGACAAGTCTTTGCACAGCCACACCCCTCCAAACCAAATGAAACATGAACAAAAACAACCAAGAGAATGTAATTGGGCTTCTTGACTATGTACAGAGATACATTTCAGTATCACTTGCTTATTGTTTATTCAAGCAGGGTGACTTAGATCCTCTTTGTCTGCAAGGTACATAGATCTTGTTTGTTCAGTGTTTAATATTACACTTTTTTCAGCAGTATATTTGATCAATTTTATACTTAATTGAAGGTTAAAATTACACTAGATTACACTAGCCTTCTAAACTGGAAGTATCAATAGTAATGAGATGGCATGGTCCAGTGGCCAAGGCACTGGCTAGGAGTAACAAGGCCAGGGTTCTATTCTTGGATGAACCAGTAATTTGCTGTACTCTAATTATTTAATCTATCTCCTTCAGTTTTCCCATCTGTAAAATGGGGACAAAAATACTTAAACCCTCAGATTCCATGGTAATGGATGTTATAAAAGAACCTAGATAGAGCTGCTGTTGCTTTGTAGAGCATCAGAAGTCAGCCTTTTTGTTTTTCTTCTCCACCCTGAAAATGCTGGCGTTCTTAAAATCAGAGCTCACTGCCTTATTTAATTTTTCAGTCATTTTTCACTTTGTCTGACGCTATCTATCCCTTCTTATGGTCTGATGTAAACAAGTGTACTTCAATATTGTCTGTTTCATTGTGTCTTGGAGAATGGAGAACTGAAGTATTGGGATTCCAGCAAACCTGAATTTCAACATTTAACCACTCTTAAATAAGTGCCTTGCAGGTGTGGTTGGCAGCCCTTTGGCGTTGCTTGCAAGTCATCATGAATATGCAAAGTTGAAACTGGACACAGTGATGTTATATTACTCCACCAAGTTGCTAAACTGTAGTGAGAACGAATGCTGTTTGTAGACAAAGTGCAAATGACAAGGAGCTTCCTGCTTAGGGCTTGTCTACACTACCGCGGTAGTTCGACGGCTGGCAATCGAACTTCCGGGTTCGATTTATCGCGTCTGGTGTGGACGCGATAATTCGAACCAGGAAGTGCTCGCCGTCGACTGCGGTACTCCACGTCAGCGAGAGGAGTACCGCGGAGTCGACGGGGGAGCCTGCCTGCCGTGTGTGGACCGCGTCTGAACCGCGGTAAATTCGAACTAAGGTATGTCGACTTCAGCTACGTTATTCACGTAGCTGAAGTTGCGTACCTTAGATCGAATTGGGGTGTTAGTGTAGACCAGGCCTTAGTGTTACTTATGTGGGTCATATTTCCTGACCTCTACAATGCTTTGTTTTAATCTGAGCTCAGAAGCAATTTAAAGCTTTTAATGGTAATTAAGTAGAAAATAAGCATTGATTCTTTAGTTCTAAGTTACTACTATTTCAATAAGTGATTGAGTCAATGTTTATTTAATCAATTCAGATTAATATGGTAGTACTAATGAGCCCAGTCAGAAGTCCCGATAATATGATTCCAGTGAAGTAACAAGGTGTATTGAAAACCAGAAACTCAATGTCTAATTCTTCCCAGGAGGCTTAGAATTGAATTAACATGTCTCACAAATACAGATACAGCAAACTGAACACCATGTTTTAATCACCCTGGGTATTATTTTTTTTTTATTTTACGTCACTTTGTCTTTGCTTATTTAAAAAAATGAATTATTTTAGCCTTCTCTTCCTTTTAATTTTCCTGCTGTGCCTATCCCAGGACGTGGTTTATTTGTGGGGGGATTAAGGTGGGGATGAATGGCTGGAATATGTGGTCGGAGATGTTTTAGATTTGGCCATTAGTCAAACTTGTAAATTTAATGGATAAGTATTACGTTTTAGTATATGCATTCAGAGTTCATGGTGAGCACATTTTAAGTAAATGAAAGTGGCTGCTCTTACATTTGGGCCCTGTCTTCTCCATTGTCCTGTATTTTGTGTAGCCTTTTCTACCTGTGCAAAGTGGATGTGAAATGCTACAGTTTGACAGCGTTAGAAGCTCTTTCTCGAGCTTCAACAAGAGAGCTGATTCATAGTTTACTGCAAATATTATGCAAAATGTTGCTTTAATTCCGTGGTCTCTATACCATGCGCATCATTATAGTATTAAATGCTTTTTTGTATTTAATATGTAAATTCACTTGATCATGGATTAATCTGTAGTCTGAAGAGCTTGTCATTTTCATTTTGTTGAGCAAGTATTGTGTGTTCTTGTGCATACACAGACCATTTTTAGTGTTAAATAAGATCCACTTGAGTTTTGGTTGAATATTGTGAAATGTGTGTATATTTTACAAATTTAGATGAGAGGGCTAGATTCTCTGATGTGCCAGCGCTCTGCTCAGTGCAGCTGAAAAAAGGGGAAGAAGAGTGGAACCAACGCTGATTTTATGACACCTTTGTACTCCTCCATGCCTGGGACCAGTTTGGCTCTCAGAGTAACTTGGGCCAGGCTCAGGTTTGCTGTAAATTATACATGGCTGCCATACTTTCCAGGGGGCCTTTCCACATCCAGCAATTGCCAGAGCACAAGGGAATAGAAAAAAACAGCTTTCCATGCTCAACCTATGCCAGGACTAGCTGGGAGTGGTGTAGGGCAAACTGTGTGACACTCAGGAATTTCCCTATATAGAATCACAGGACTGGAAGGGACCTTGAGAGGTCATCTAATCCAGTCCCCTGCACTCATGGAGGACTAAGTATTATCTAGGCCATCCCTGATAGGTGTTTGTCTAACCTGCTCTTAAAAATCTCCAATGACGGAGATTCCACAACCTCCCTCAGCAATTTATTCCAGTGCTTAACCACCCTGACAGGAAGTTTTTCCTAATGTCCAATCTAAACCTCTCTTGCTTCAATTTAAGCCCATTGCTTCTTATCCTATCTTCAGAGGTTAAGAAGAACAATTTTTTCCGTCCTCCTTGTAACAACCTTTTATGTACTTGAAAATTGTTATCATGTCTTCTCTCAGTCTTCTCTTTTCCAGACTGAACAAACCTAACTTTTTCAATCTTCCCTCACAGGTCATGTTTTCTAGCCCTTTAATCATTTTTGTTGCTATTCTCTGGACTTTTTCCAATTTCTCAACATCTTTCCTGAAATGTGGCGCCCCAAACTGGCCATAATACTCCAGCTGAGGCCTAATGTTTGCATTATGCATCAATTAGTGTAGACAGGCAACCTGTGA